GTTTCTTTGGTCAGTTCTTTTGTAATTCAAAGAATCGGAATTTCAAACCTGACACACGAGACCACAGCAGTTTTCCAAATGGAAAAGCTCTACAGAAATGGTTGAAGGGTAAATCCTTTCTTGAACCCACCTGTACTGGGATGTTTTCAAAAGTGTTTGTCTACAACACAGAGGCAACATGAAGTTTTACTCTCATCTTTTCTGGTTTTTTTTGTTAAATCCACCAGACCAGAGAGGAGAATGTCCTGGATTTTATTCTCTTTCCCATACCAACAAGAGCTATTCCTGACAGCTACTGCACAAGTTAGCCAAAGGACTTGGTTTGGCAGACAGTTGTCATTTGCTTCAATGGGCAGGAGTGGGAAATGTCCCCTCTTCCTTCACGTTCTTCAAGCTGTAGAAGAGAAGCTGATTCTAATACATGGAATAAATAAATTCAGTCCAGTGCAGTGCATAAAGGGAAGCCAACAGCCCCTCCTGGTTTGATGTTGCATCTGGGTCCACCTGGAACGATCCCCCAGGCAAAGGCACAACGTGCAGAGGGGCTGAGCTGCCCAGCTGTGCTCAGAAGGGCCGAGACCAGTTTGGTCCACGTGGATCCTTGGTTTGATTTCAGCTTTCCTTATTCCCGATGAGCAACGCCAGGTGATGATCCTGAAGCATTTCCCAGTGCAAAAGGAAGCAAAGAAGCGACGCCTTTGGGTAAGACGGGGATGAAAACCCGTTTGGAGGAGGTTTGGCTGTGACGTCCTTTGAAGGCCACCACGTTCCCCCCCAGGCAGGGCCCAGCGCATCTTCTGCAGTGCAGATCCCACAGATGTGCACTGAAGTGAGTTTCCACCGTGCTGTGCTGTACTTTGTCGAGATACAGGTTGTACTTTTTTCACTTGGGAAGTCTCATTCAACAGTGGCAGGGCTGCTCAGTTAGGGAAAAAGCAAAGTGGGGTTTGATTTCTGCCCTGTGATGCCGATGCAGTGCTGTCCTCCAGATCCCATGGCGTGTAGGCACATCCCAAGGCAGTTATTTCAGACAGTTACTGTCACAAACAGTCACAAGAAGTTCCTGTTCCCCACCTGTTCACAAGGTTGCAAAAAGGGCCACTGAGGCACCTGATGAGAAGCCTTTCACCGCAGCACTCACTCCTTCCGTGATCATCAGAGCCCAAATCTGAGTTTCAGACTCTATCAAAGGCTCCACTGGTCGTTGAGATCTTCAGGCTCGAACCACATTTCAGCTGAAGGGAGATGGGCAGGAGGCTCTTGGTCTGTCGTGCTTTAACGCCGTGGTGTGGGCTGTGGACGTCTCCAGGAACAGAACTGCTGACCACCCTAACAAATGTATCTGTTGGTAAGTGTGTCTGTAACTGCAGCGTTGCATCATCTCCATGGTTATTTTAAAAGTTCTCTTTGGGACTTTACATTATTAATAAGGTGTCTACGGAACTGTCTAGAAAAAACATCCTTGTGTGGATCTTGGTGGTGACCTTCTCATTTCCCAGTCCTCAGCTGGAGCAAAGTGGTGTCACTTTGTTATTTCTCTCCATGTTATTGGCACTATTGTCACCAGTTGTCAGGATAGGATATCCACAGTATGGCAGTAGGGAAGAGTCTCTCTTTTGAAGGACAAACCAGATAAAATGACACAAGAAATATATGCTGTGCACTGGTTGGAAGCACGGCTGTGACGAGCTGGAAATCAAGCCTGTGATCACAAATAGGCTTTAGGATGCATGGGATGAGTTTAAATGGTTGCTTCCTATAACTCTACAAATACACTACCACTGGCAGATTGATTATATGTGAATTTTAAAAATCACACATGTGCTACAGATTAGAACAGGAAAACGTTTGATGCTCTCTCTCTCTGCTGACTTCCAAGTGTTTCAGCTGTGCTGCCATTTTAAAAAGAGGGAAAGAGAAACACAGAGCAGAGTGCCACGATCAGCCACACAACGGCAGGGCCATGAGGGGAACTCACACCTCCTGAATCACCCTGAGTGGCAACAAGAGAATTGGAATCATTTGGGTACATTTATATACATTTATATATATCTTGTATAACATTCATAAAGCAGATTACCCAGTAAGGGTAAAGAAACCTGGTTTGGAAGAGGTTTGGGTTTGCTGTGTCATCAAAATTGCGGCTGGGAAATAGTTCACAAGAATCTGTGGTATCCAAGGGAACTTATTTGTATGGACTGACACACACAAATCCCATTAGCATAAGAGTTACTCAGGCACATCCTCCCAGATTGATCTCAGCCTCTGCTCACTGCACGTGCCCGGCTGAGCCACATTTCTGTCATTCTGAAGTCATCTCCTAATCATAGAGAGAGTCCATCAGTGCCACTCCAGAGGCAGGGAGGGAGAGATGAGCTCATGTGTGGCTCACTGACTTTATTGCGAGTGGCAAGACGAAGGTGCCCCACGTACTTCCCAGGTAACAACTCAGGATGCAACTGCCTGAAAAATACAAAATGCTAGAAAAGGTGCTGATGTTTAGGTGCTGTTGGAGTTGTGTTTAAAATTAAAAAAGCACCAAGGGCACAGCATCTCTACCTAACGGTTACCTGGACTGTTCTTGTGCAGAGTCACCTTGAAACACCTCCCATAGGGTGTGTGGTCCTTCATGTCACACAGCTCTTGACTATTTAGGGTGAGGCACTCAGGCCTGAACTCCTCCTATTTGTGGCTATCAGATTTGACTTATGGCTTTATGGCACCCTTTTTAACCAGGGTGAGATATTATTTCTCTGGAATATTCTCGGTAACCCAAAACACACCCGGACAGAGATCCAAGGGAAAGAGAGACCTGTAAAGAACGTGCTTTTTCCTTATAGCCATAGAAAGATGAGCTATGTCAGATATTCAAGGTTTCTATACCTGCTGATAGGGAAGAAGCAGAAGAACAGGGAGACAACCTGAGCAGGGGTGGTTACACTATAATATCTTGTGGTGTTTGAGAGCCTGAGTACTTTTACCCTTGAGACCCCAGAAATGTCTGTGCATAAATAAAATCTACCACTGGATTTTAAACCTCTGTGATTTTTACAAAAGTTTGCTTTAAAATTTAAATATATAACCTGTTTAAATTTGAATGTTTTGGTTATTCTTTAAATGAGTTTTATAATTTGGATGCCATTCAACTCTTGACTGTGTTCCGAAACCAGCGAGGAATTTGCCCTATCCATCTTAGCTCATAATGGATAGATAGAACATATTAAGAGTTATCACCTCAAAAACAGATCAAAGTCTACTTCCTTTAATATTGACTTTCTTTAAAAGGACCTAAATATAACCCACTAGCTAAATAATTCAATTTTCGGAGGGAGGAAAGGAACTGAGAGCATGTTTATACAACAGACCACAATAACTCTACAGTTTTCTGATTTGCTGGAGAAGAAAAAAAACCCTTCTCACATTTTCTGTTTAAGGAAATGTTACTCTTAGACTAAATGAGCCCAAACCTGTCAGCCATCCAAATGGACTCTTCACTGACATAAGTGGCAAACACTTGCATACATCACTGACAGGAAGAGCTCAGCTCAAGGAACAGGAACAATGAGCTAATCTCAAGAAATGGTCCTTTTTCAGATGTTTTACAATGTTGTGCAGGGGGCTTTTTATCTTCTCTGCTTGAGTCACTCTTATTATCAAAGGTGTTGAAAGGTGGGGCTTTGTTGTTGTTCTCTTTCTGTTCTGTCCCTAAATATCTCCAAGTTTTGGAAAATACACATATCAGTGTGCACTGATGTGATCAAACACACATTCAGTGTTCTCAGGAGTTCCAGAGCAGAGTGGCAAGGCTGTACCTCTGCATTTCATGGGAATGCAAGGAAGGAGGTACTAGAACATCTCCTGCCATATGATCAAACAGTGCCTGGGGCCAGTCCAGAGGGTTTCCCCACAGCTGCTCAGGGCTCTTCTTGCTTCTGTTCTCAGTCCCTTCCTCCATTCTCATGAAATGCCGTGTTTTCTACCCCGCTGAGCGTTGTTCAACGGGGTTTCTGCTTTTATGCAGCCACGTTGTAGATGGGGAAGAGACCAGGAGGCCTCAAGACTGGAAAGCATAGAGCTCAACTTCAACTTCTGGATGCAGAATGTGGTGCTGTGATTAACTTTCAGTGGTGGCTCTAAAAATGACTAACCTGTATTTGGGAAACACATTTCCTCAGCCTTTGTATTTTAAGTGCTGTGGAATCAAAAAACAAAAACAAAAACAAAAACAAAAACAAAAACAAAAACAAAAACAAAAACAAAAACAAAAACAAGTAAAGTCCACTACTATGTGTTTTGCAGAACGGGGGTACGAGAGTTTTAACCTCAGCTGTGTATTGGGTTTTTCATTATTAATGCTGGTTCAGTTAAGATATATTTTAAGATATATATTAAGACATATTTTGTACTGCTGCAGTACACGAAAACGCAGAAACTGGAAATGGGATTTTCTGCCTGTTCCTCAAACCGGAACACACCTGCTCTTTCTGCTGGGAGAGAGGGCACTGGATACAGCTGCTATGGGATAACTATTTTATGTGGTTGGAATCCCTCACAATGACACTGGTTGCTGCACCTTAGTCCCACTGGGTACGAAGATCAGGCCAGTGTCTCTATGGAGATGCCTGCACCCCAGAAGTGTAATTCCAGCTCTGCTCAGCATTCGACCAGAACCTTTTATCCATCCCTAGGTACATGAAGAAGTACACACAAATGCAAAACCTTTTGGAAAGGATTTGTGAGAGGAGGACAGTGCAATCCCGTGGTGGGAGTGAACCACAGGCAGGTGCCCTGCCGGGAGGCAGCAGGGATGTCAGTCCCGTTGGTAACGCCAGCCCGAGCTCAGGCGCCGGTCCTGCCCCGGCACGGGCTGTGTGATCCCGCTGATCTTCCCCAAACCAACAGCCGTGCCCCGTGACGCCCCCGTGTCACACCCCCGGGTGCCCACTTTTGGCGTCCTGCGGGGGGGCAGCCCATCAGCGACGAGCAGAGAGCCAACGTACCCACTTTGAGCTCCTTCCCGAAGACGGTCCTCTCTCCCAGGGCAGAGCAGTTCCAGCGCCCGTTGCGGAACTGGAACTGGCACTCGTTGATGCCCATCTGGGACCCCTCCCCGATGACGATGATCGCGTCGGGCCTGCTCTGGCAGATCGCCCGCTGCCGGGGGGCGAGCCCCGGGATCTTGTTGCAGATGATGCTCGCTCCCAGGGCCACCACCGACGAAAAACCCCTGCAACGACAGGACACCAGAGCTGGCTGAGCGGAGGTTCGTCCCGGCGGCAGACGCAGCATCCCCGCTGCCTTCCCGAGCTGCGGGGCCCGCCTTTGGCAGGTGCCCCCCGGAAAACACCCGCCTTTCCCCCTGTCGCTTCCCTCTCCCTCTCTCCAAGCCAAGGCAAGGATAAGGAGAGCGGGACCAAACTTCCTCCTCGGTGAATTAAAGCGCACGCAGCGGCGTTGCGTGCCCGGGCCACGCACAGACAGCGGGCCGGGAGGGTTTTCCCAAACCTGTCGAACAGTTAGAGGAGGGAGGGAGAGGGGGAAGGCGGACAACCCCCGCTCCCTGCCCGCGGGCCGCGCCGCCTCCTCCCGCACCGAGCGCACCTGGACGGGCCGGGGATGCTGCGGGACCGGAGCGCCGCCACTCTCCCTGCGCCCCGCTCGGTGCGGGCGGAGGCGGCTCCGCCGGCCGAGCCATCGAGGGATGTCCGGGCGGGGAGGCGGGAGCAGGTAGCCGGCAGGTACCCGGCAGGGACATCCCGCACCGGGGACAGCCTGCCGGGGCGGGGAAGCCCAACTGCCCGGGGCATACCCCCGGGTGTCCCCCCGGCAGGGACCGCCGTCCGGCCCCTCGAAGCCCCGCACATCGCCGGGGCCGCCACCTCCCCCGGAGGTGAGCGGGCTTTACATGTCTTTTGAGAAATAATCGTGATCACCACTATCATCACCTTTTTTTTTTTTTTTTTTTTTGAGACTTCCCGAGTTAAATAGTAACAGGTCTGGACAGGTTGGGCTGAGCGCGAGTGAGAGCGCGATTGTTATAAAAGAAAGAGGGAAGGAAGGGAAAAAAAAAAAGTTACTTACCCGATCTTGATATACACAATCCCCAGGCTCAGGAAGATGTGGAAGATCCAGCGCCTTGTTTTCCTGTTCATATTCCTTGCTTGCCGTGGCTCAGACCAACACGCGAAACGATGCCCGGCGCGCTCGGGGCCGTTCCGTGCCGCTCCGTGCCGTTCCGTGCCTCTCCGTGCCGGTCCGTCGCTGGCGGTGCCGCGGTCACGGCCGCCCGGCCGAGCGGGGCAGCCCCCGCCGCGCCCCGCAGCGCCCGCCGCTCCTCGCCGAGCCCCCACCGCCTCTCACCATGGCCCCGCCGGGGCTCCCCGCGCTGCGAGCCCCGCGCCGGCTGCGCTGCTGGCACAGGAGCGCCGTGTGCGGGACGGGCTGCGGGGTCCTGCGAGCGCCGGCCGCGTCCCCACCTTCAATGGGAATTGTCTCCCTCTCTTCTCTCTTCTCTTCCCCCCCCCCCCCTTTTTTTTTTTTTCCTCTCTTTCTCTCTTTTTCAGCTACTTGGGCGTGTTCTCCTCAGGAGGGAGTTGTCCAGCCGGGGTGTGGGGGGGGAGAAAGAAAGGCAGGGAGGTGGGAAGAAGGGGAACCAGGAATTGCAGGCGGATCACCTGCCTGCAGGGAGGCTCAGGGCGATCCTCCTCCTGCGGGCACGGCCCGGGGGAACGCGGCGGGGGCTCCGGGGGTTGTCACCGGGGGGCGCCCCCGGGGCTGGCCCCGGCCCGCCGGGCGGCATTGGGGCCGCCGCGCCCGGCTCGGCCCGCACCCCGCACCCCGCGCCGCTCCGCGCCCGCACCGCGGCCAAAGCTTTGACTCCGCGCTCGCCGCCCGCTCGCCGGGGCCGCCGAGCACCTGGGGCCGGTTTTATGCGTGTGCTCCGACGCTCCTCCCCTCGCTCTGCCTCCCCGCAGCCTCCCCGGCCCCGCGCCGGGTGAGCCCCGGGCAGCCGAGCATCCCCGCAGCGCCGCCCCGTCCCGCACCCGGGCAGAGGCGGCGCCGGCAGGTGCGGGAGGCAGCCGCCCCCGGCCTCCAGCGGGCAACAGCGAGCCCCGTGTTCACGCAGTGCCCTCCCCACAGTGGTTTTGTAACTGATCTCCCAGTGGCAGAGGCAGGGCTCGGTCCTGCCGGGCCCCCGTGGTCGTGGGTTCACGTCGGGTGTCCGCGGTCCGAGCCCACGGGGGGGAAGGGGGCAGAGCGGGGGCTGCGGGAGCTCCTCGGGGCGGGGGGACCGGCCCGGCAGAGAGGAGGATCCCGTCTCCTCGTTGCGGGAATTTACACGGATATGGTGACTATTTTATTATCCACTTCAAATATTTCAAACAGGGAGGTTACCTAAATGATAACAGGGGTGTGGTGCGGGAATTGTTCTGCTGATAATGTTTTTCTGAAAACAAAAACACGATGACAGGATCCCTCAGGGTCCCTCCGAGGAGCCGGTCCGGAGACCCCCCCGCGAGGAGCCGGAGCCCCCCTTGCGGGG